TTATTATTCAGCAAAAGAAATAAAATCATAATCTTACTTTAAAGTTAAACATAACATATTTACAACTTTATAGTTTTAACATACTTTTTACAAACATATTTACAACATAATATTCATGGTCATATCTAATTGTTTAGTAACCAGTGAACTGTATAAATACATCGCAAACATACTTTCATTTAAAACACAAACAGTTTTTTTTGTTGCCTTCACACCTTCACACCTCTTTCAATTTATACCAAATGTAAATAACAACTTTTATCTGTGCTAACAATATCACATTTTTCACTAGAAATGGGATCATTTAGAATAGAAGAAATTAATAAGTGTTTATTTTGCTACTTTACTAGTAAATACAAAGTAAATTAAAAGATTTTAAAATAAGGATTATTGTAGGTAAAGTTTATTGAGGTCTGTTTATCTTATTTTAATTTTTACTTAAAGTCTTTTGGTGCTTTTTATGATGAATACTGTTAACATTTGAAAAGAAATATTGCAGCAAATTATCTTTAGATTTGATAATATAGTTAATGTATTTACAGCTTTATTTATGAAAAAATTGATGCTTTTTTAATTTTTATCAAAACCAAAAATAACTGGTAAAGCAGTAGCAGTACCACTTTTTAAGACACGTAATGCAGTAACCAGTAGTAGCAAAATTTTTGTAAGAGTAAATTCAGTATCAGTACCAGACTTGCAAAATTGCTGCCAGGTAAACGTCTACTGCAGTACCAAGTACCAGTACCAGTAATGCAGCTCTTGCTTACAACATGCATGAGTTTCTAAAATAATCCGGGTGATGCCATAATTAAAGAATATCGGGCCACTCAGAAATCGGGGCGAGACGCGACTTTTCAATGAGACACGAAGCGAGACAAATATTGTAACACGAAGATCTCGCAATGTCGAAGGATCCCCGTACCACGAGATTTCAGAAATGAATAATTTTTTACTTCTTAAGAAATAGGGCAAGTATGAATTTATTAGTATTCAAATAATGATTTCTGAGGTAGTTTGATGCTTGTAACCCAAAGAAATTCGCGATAAATGTGAAATGATGTGATATAAAAGTAGCAAATTGTAAACATAGTAATTGACTTCAATACAAAATTCTAAATCACTTCAACTGTACAAACTGAAAAAAAGCAGCAGATGAAAAAAATGATTCAGGTAATTAGCCAATGGCTATAAAAGTATACCAAAAATAAAAAAGATTTTGTGGAATACAAATAAAAGCATTTCTCAGGCATAATGGGCCTTTTAAGTGATTCTATGTAGACTATAAAGGAAATACTACTTAGCGGTATATGACTGGAATCAATTTCTTGTCTCACGTCGACGAACGAGATGCGAAGCGAGACGCGAGATTTCGGCGAGATTTACGATATTGTATCATTCAATATCAACCGATTACGGTGTTCTGTTTAACATAAGTAACATTTTTGTCTCCCTGAACAGCTATGCACAACGGTACAAAGGTGAAATTGAGATGGTACGATGGTACGATGATTAAAACACGATGGCACGATGGTGAAATCACGATGATGCGATGTCACGATAGAGTAAATAATATTGCGTTTTCATCATCATGCAATCGCAGTTTCATCATATCGTATCATCGTATTTGCACCACGTAACATCGTCTTTCACCATAGTACCATCACGTTTTCATCATCGAGCCTTCGTTGTTTCACAATCGTACAATCGCTTTTTCACCAGCGTACCGTTGTGTTTTCACCATCGCACCATCGCGTTTTCATCAACGTACCATCGTGCCGTCACGCTGTCACCATTGTACCATCGTGAACGGGATTTAGTATGTTTCAGTGTACGCCTTTAGGTTAAGCCAATCAATTTCTTGAATTAGAGATATTATAATTGATATTTACTTTAGGTTTTCATAAAGAAAGCATAAGCAAACCTATTGATGATTACACTTGACATGAGGTAATACGGCGAACCTCGATTCTAAAAAAGAATTTCTGCCGTGGGGAAATATGTGACAAATAATTCATAAAAATGACATGAGACAAATGTGCTTTCTTGTCCCTTAAAAACACATGAGACAAATGTGCTTTCTTGTCCCATAAAAAACTTGATCGGAGCACATTTGTCACACAAATGAGTTTTTTGGGGTAGATATTTGAGGTCCCATTTGTCTCATGTGGGACAAATGCGACCGCATCGGTCTTACGTAAGACAAATGTGCTCCGAGACAAATGTGCTCCTACAGAGCAATGTTCTATCAAGTAACAAAAAGCATGGCTTATTCCTTCTCAAGTTATTGATTTGCCAAGAATGTTACATTAAGATTCATTATGACCTTGTTCTTTGACCCAAGACCTCATTCTAAAATTATCTATCAGACAAGGATTTGACATGAAATGTCATGGTTACCTTGACCTTTGAGCTTATCAACAAGACAAACAAAACAATCACAAAGCAATAAATTATACATCAGTTTATTAAATTGGACTGGCATTATAAATAATAAATAAATCGGCATGTTCTATCATACATCCCTAAGACAATATCTTTTTAAATTATATATCAGTCTATACTGATGTGCATCAACAAGACAAGGTTATCATAAATTATACATCAGTATATGATATGGTACTTATAAAACATAGGTTTTATATATTACATCAGCATGTACTCGTGTACAGCAACAAAACAAAATCTTTATGAAATTATATAACAGTATGTGCTAGTGTACATCAACAAGACAAAGCAATCATAAATTATACATCAGTATATATAATTGTACATCATCAAATATAAGCATCATAAATAATAGATCAGCATGTTCTAGGATACATCAACAACCCAAGATTTTTATAAATCATGTAACAGTGTGTACTAGTGAACATCAACAAGAAAAAGTAATCATGAATTATACATCAGTATATAGAACTGTACATCAACGAGGCAAAATCTTTATAAATTATTTACCAGTGTACAAAAACATATATGATATTGTACATATATTAAGTATGTACTACTGTCTATCAACAAGACAAAATCATAAACGAATATGCATCAGTATATGATATTGTAGATCAGCAAAAACTAGGCATTACAATCATTTGTGTCAGCATTAACCCATTTGCATCAACAATACAAAGACAACAAATAAAATATAACCATACACAATTAACATCAACAAGACATAGTCTTTTAAATATTCTATTAGTATGTACTATTTTTCGAGACAAAATCACAATAAACATATAATATATATCGCTTTCCGTTTTATAAAAGCGCCGTTCTGAGTTGACGTCATGAGTCCGCAAAAAGACGTGAGCATAACGTCATGATATTCTTTCAAAAGATATACATATACACTATTAAAGTCGTTGGTAATTATAGACTTTAACATATGTCTATAATTAATTGTCTTTTTTACCAACAAGATAAGTCATTATCTGTAATTTATCAGTGTAAAATTTGATACACCAACAAGACGCACACAACAAATATTTCATAATACAATAAAAATATATTAATGAGCCGTGTCATGACAAAACCAACATAATGGGTTTGCGACCAGCATGGATCCAGACCAGCCTGCGCATCCGCGCAGTCTGATCAGGATCCATGATGTTCGCTATCAGTTACTCTACTTGTTATAGGGCTTGTAAGCGAATAGCATGGATCCTGATCAGACTGCGCGGATGCGCAGGCTGGTCTGGATCCATGCTGGTCGCAAACCCATTATGTTGGTTTGTCATGACACGGCTCATTTATAAAAAAAAATCCTCAGGATAGAGAACTAGACGTACAAAGCCGGATCAATTATATCTACATTTTGTACATAAACAAGATGACAAGTAATATACAGTAGTATGTACAATATGTACAGTTTGTGCAAATTAACTTGCATACATATGATTTGAATTACACCTATGACATGCTTTTATGTCAAATTTTTTATGTGTTAAGTAATATCAGTACCGATGATTTGTCAATGGGATCCCACGGTCTGAGCTAGTGAAATGTACAAAAGAAAAACACAAATGTTTTTGCGGTTAAATTTGCATATTGCATACACAGATATCGGGTTAAGTTATTATGATTATGAATTGTTTTATTTAGTTTCTCTACATAAATCTGAATTTCGAATATTCATAACAATTCGAGTACCATATTTAAACTTCTGTAATGCAGTTTAACAGCTGTGTTTAATATATCTGGAGGGTGACAATACTTGTCAACAACATGTTGTATAACAAGGACAGAATAAATAGGTATTCTATAAGACGCGTTAGTCAAACATCAGTTATTATGATTGTGAATTGTTTTATTTAGTTTCTTCAAATGTTGACATTAAAAACGTATACGTATTTAAATCTGAATTTCGAATATTCATAACAATTCGAGTACCACATTATAATCTTGACAATGCAGTTTAACCGCTGTTTTTCTATATATTCATGTCAACAGTATACTGCTCGTAAAACAAGACTAGTACAGAATTAATATAAAAATCGAAAAGTTACTAGTATTCTATTAGACGCGTTGACAATAGTCAAACATTTGTGTGTCATAAATGATAAAATAGGTGAAATCGGAAGAATGAATATAATATATGCATACATATAATTGACGGGTTGATTAAATTGAAGTTTCTATGTTACTTAGTATGATTAGGTTGAATAATAAACAATTTAATTACACAGCATTTAAACTTTAAAGACTAACATTCTAAACATATATTAAAACTTTGTTACTTCATGGTTTTCTAGATCGTCTGTGTTTACGTTACCATTAGCTAAACCAAGTTTTCTAGCAATGTCTTGTTCATTGTTGGCATTTTGCTTTGGGATAGCTAATTTCCATTAAAGTGGACCCCCCCGGCCCCTTTAAAAGGCCCGGGCTCAAATAAAATGAGTCATCGTCCAAATTTGGCAGTCCCATTCGGGACTTCTTTCAAAACAGTCGACGAATTCAGTACAGGTAGCTGATTTCGGTTGGGCGGTTGACATTTTGCGATTCTTCTAACGGCAATTTAAGTGTCCATCCTCCTTATCAGCATTTGTCCCGTCGGTTGTACTTGGCGCTGTAGTGTTGGTAGACTCTGAATGTGTAGCATCTCTCCCACTGTCGACTACTGACTTATTATGAGCAGAACTGTTATTGTGTATGTTGATATCAATTTTAACATCTATCAGGAAAAAACAAAAATAACATTGAATTTTAAGTGACTTAAACTTAAACTCCTGCAATTTGTTTTGAAATTTTTACTTGGAAATGCAATTTTATTTTTCATTTTCTAACTTCTTTATCATTTTATCGTTTGTTTTTATAATGAATCATAAGCACATTCTTTCATAGTTAAACTTGGTGAAAAAGGTTCAAGTCGTTTAATACACAGAATTATATATCACTATTGGACCCATAAGATCGCACCAACAATCGTAAGGTTCTCACCTCCAACGTTTCAAGGGGTTAAACACCTCTTTATCAAGGAGTTTCTGTTTATTTTTATCTATCTTCTGATCTTACACTATGTTATGACATAACAAAGTGTAAGATAAGAAGATAAATATGTGATTTATAAGAATAAACAGAAACTCATTGATAAAGAGGGGTTAAACCCCTCGAAACGTTGAAACGTTTGAGGTGAAAACTTTGTGTAGTAGATATTTCCAGAATAATCCTAAGGTTATACAAACGTATAAATACCTTTAGTTTTTGTTGCTAAAATAATTATATATAACTTCAACATAAACGAGCAGTGCAATTCTACTGTATATGGCTATTTAATTAATAGAGAGAATAAACTATCTTTAAGACACAAAAAATGTCATATATAACTTACGGTTACTCTTATCATCGTGTTTTCCAGAACAGCTTAAATGTGTATTGGATGGAATGTTGTTCTCGGAAGCAGCTTCTTGTTTTTTCTTTTGAACATCTTGCAGAACTCTATGATCTTTAGGGACAGAATTACTCCAAGAGGGCATGTCTGGCGGGTCAATGCTTATGTTTGCGTCGTGTGTTTGACTGCTGAAATGGTCCGTCGAAGATGGTGCAATGCCTTTGGACCTAGTTACTTTAGGAGCTCGATCGTCTTTCTTTATACCGTTTGATATCGATGTTGCTTCCTTTTGATATTTTTGTTCATGCAATGATACGGCCGAGGTCGGAAATGTATTTTCACTTTGAGGTTGCTTTCCTGCTTCCATCAAATCAGCCATTTCTTCTTTGTTCCCGCATTCTTTAACAATCTTACTGTCCTTATTTTTTCTCGTGTAAACGTTCATGTAACATCTGTAGACTATGTAACAGCACATACAAACAGATTCTACAAGACCTATTATACCAATTATCATCCAAACTGAAAAAAACAACATTATAACTATTATCACTTGTCTTAAGATATCAAGAATACATTTCTGTGATATTATTTAACATACGAACATGTTGTATGTATATAGAAAACTAAAACTGTCTTACTAAATGTTATATATCATAATTTAATTAATTGTATATGCCGCTTGAATAAAATCTAAAATGTCACAATACTTACCAGTAACTGTTATTTCTTCCTCTTTGCAATATGGCAGGTGACCATCACTGCTGACCCAACTCCCTGTCTCTGACCATCTTAAAAACTCAGAACCAACTAAGATGTAGCCACTGTCACAAGTTGCGTGTAACACTAATCCACTCTGGTTCCATTTCCCGTTCATTATTGGAGGAAATTCTGGATATACTAAAATGTCCATTTGTATTAAATTAAAAGATTATGTTTAAGTAATGATTTAATAAATTGAAAACTTGTACTGATAAACTAAATGAAATGAACACCTCTTTAATAGGCCAAATATAATCATATGCAAGTTATTTTTATCCTTACAGAAAGGTGCTAAATTCAGTAACTTTAAACTAGAAGGATGCACACTGAGTTCAAACATAGTCAAACATTTGCACAATTATAATTTACTTATTAAGTGCAAAAAAGGGGTTTATGATTCATCTAATTAAATTAACAATCTAATTAAGTTAACATGCTACTTAAAACTGAAAAAAGAAATAATGTTTGTAATAAACTAAAAGCCTTACTGAAAAGCAATGTCACATCTGAATATAAAGAAAAATACATGTGTAGGCAATGTATAAGAAAATTAAGAAAACTAATAGAAATCAGGTGACCTACTTTTCTACGTTCGATGAGGACGTGACCAAAAAAAGATTATCTCAAATTTTATGTAAAGAAATCAAGTACATCTAGGAATGTCAAAATGAAAAGTATATACTTTGACAAATCGGCATCTTGTCTTGCCATGTACCATCAGTTTTGCATGTTGTAGATTCTGCGCCGATTCTCTGGTATCCGGGATTACACTGGAAAATGATTATGTCTCCTGGCTGGTGAGGAATTGTTTCAGACCCATTATGATTTCCATTGCTAACTCCTTGCAAAACGGGACAGGTGATTTCTGGAATTTAAGATTTCGGGTTTTTCATAAAGAAAGTTACATTTTTGATAATGTTCACGATGATAGTGATTTGAAAAATGCACATTGGACCCTTTAACTCCTACTTGATATTTCGCAGAGTTTGCAATGTGATATATTTAATGTATTTTGAAGTGATTATGGTTAGTGTCCAGATGTATATGAGCCGCGTCACGACAAAACCAACATAGTGCGTTTGCGACCAGCATGGATCCTGACCAGCCTGCGCATCCGCGCAGTCTGATCAGGATCCATGCTGTTCGCTATCAGTTTCTCTACTTGTAAAAGTGTTGGTTAGCGAACAGCATAGATCCTGATCAGACTGCGCGGATGGGCAGGCTGGTCTGGATCCATGCTGGTCGCAAACGCACTATGTTGGTTTAGTCGTGACGCGGTTCATATAATGTGAAAGTAATTGAATGATTGAATGAAATAATGTTCACAACATATAAAAATTAGCTAAATGTATTCTGGTTCTCAACTATGAAAGGCATTATTTCATAAATCGGTACTGATTGTCTTCATCGAAACTTAAATATTTTTGTAATCTATAATTCAAAATATTTTATATACTATCAAATACCTTCACATGTTGGAACATCATGTGACCACTGACCATAAGATTTGCATTTGAGAGTAGGCCGACCAGATAAGCGATACCCGGCATCACAAGTTATGCCAACGACATCACCAGGCTTGTATATTTCCGATGTAGAGCCGTTACTTTTTCCGTTTTCTATAGGGTCAAGATTTGGGCAAGCGGATTCTACAAAATAATTCACAGTCAGAGTATTAACAATGAAAGTTTATGCTATTTCTTTAAACAATACCAGTCGTTTCAGCTATTTTATGTTGAATTTCCATATTCCAATCGCACAAGAACAAATGAGTTAAGACAATGCACGATTGGTTTGATTGGTTTCCTTCTAGTTTTCATAGTAAAACTTAACTTGTATATGTATTATTACCGACAATTTTGAGGTTAACTAGTCATTTAATATCAAATATGTTGTGGCGGCATGGCCGAGTGGTTAACGCTTCGGACTAGTAATCTTATGATCGCTAGCCGCATGGGTTCAAACCCTGACAGGGGCAAGTCGCTGTTTCCTTGAGCAAGAAACTTTACACTCATTGCTCAGTACTGGTTGGTTCCAGGAACGGATTCGAATGTGTGTTTATAAGCTAATAGCTTCCTACACAATCGAACTAAAATAAATTATGTATAAACCAAATATGTTCAAACGTACAACTAGATATTTTAAACCTTTATCAATCGTACCTTAAACTATTATTTTTTTACAACTTTTCAACAACCACATTGTACAAGTAAACATTCATAAATATTTAAAACAATACACACCTCTTTCATTTTTCATCTTTTCTTGCACATGAAATTCTGGAAAAAATACAGAATAGTTAGATTCACTACATAATTATGTAAATGATATTTACCCGACAGTCATGAAGAATTTCAGCAATAATTTATAAGTTCGTTATAACTATTCATTTTATCAATTAAAAAAGATAACAATATAAAACCAATTACCGGTAAAATCAAATACTAGTACATCTATCAGAATAATTAATGATATTTAACAACATTTTTATGATCTATATAAACTAATCTACGCCGGATGATACATATATACATGTATATCTATAAACACTGACTTTCACACATCAGTGCCTCAATATATATTAAAACATTTTAAACAGGTTTACTGAAAGAAATAAGCCATTGGAGTGTACATACATTATTCTGTGATAAAAATAGAACACACTTTAGTCACTGTATTTCATAAGACAACTTTAAAGGCACATTATGACTCAGAAGTAGATAACATTTTACTGCTTTAGAAAGCGAAAATATGAATTTTATAATGTTTAATTAATGGTTTTAAAGAAATGTTAGATGCTTGTTACCTAAAAAAATAACAATAAATGCGAAAATAACTTGTCATAAATGTAGCAAATTGTAGTATTTTGATTTCCATACAAAATAGTAATTCACTATGAATGTACCTATTGTCCAAACGAAACGGATGGAAAAGATGGTTCCGGTAATAGCTCAATGAGTAACATTTTTGGATACTATAAGAGTACAATGTACACAAAAATTAAAAAGCTTTTGAGAAAAACAAACATTTCTGAGGCATGATTGGCCTTTTATGGTGTTCAAGATACTCGTTTCCTCACCTATGCACGTCCTCGTACAATTGCTTGGCATCCCATGCTCGAAGCATCCATCTATAATGTCGAGACAGTCACGGCATTTCGATTCTCTTTCGCTACAAAACTGGTCTTGGCCATACCTATAAGTAAAGTTGCTTATACATGTACTAGTACTTATCTATTTTATGTATAATGACATTGTGTTGAAAGAATTTCTGAGATCAGAAACAATTTATTAATAAAAACGTGTATTTTGATAATTTACCCACATGGGATAGAAAAACTGCCATTTAAAACTAATGCATCATTTTTAACACGTGTTTAAACTGAAATATAGTAAAATTTCCAATTGTTGTTACTCCCCTGTTATGCGCATTTGATACATATACATTCGCTTTTTAACGATAGTTAGGTATAGAAAAGCATAATGTGTTTATAATATATGTTTACGACGCAGGATATTCAATAAAATACAGGGCAATGTCAACGCTGTTTTTGTTATGTGCTTTTTATGTTCATTTTTATTATTGTTTTATAACCCGTGTTAATTTTTTAATTTATGTACGGCCTTTTTGGTTTGGACGTGGAATGATTTTGTATATATTTGGCGTTGTTATTACACTTAGTAAAAGCAGTCTAACAGTTTTATGAATGAACTATACTTACAAATTACAGACATCTGAGTGGCACGGGAAAGGTATTCTTGTAACCTGACCTGATACAAGCACAGCCCATGCAATTGCAGCTATCAAAATCTCGATCATTATTTCGTTGTACGACCTGTTAAAGAATGCAGAATCAAAAACAATACCAGAAAATATCTAAATACATCTCCATGGTATTAATTAACTATAAAATATTTCTGTTAAGATATCAGAATAAATCAAGGTGAATGATACTGCTTCATAATAACAAATACATATTTTTTTATTAGAAACAATATTATACCATACATGGTTTAAATATATATTACTGAATGGGCTTAATTAACTATAAACCTTGGTCTCAATTTACTTTAAAACATTAATACTAGAATATTTAAATAATAACTTTCATGTTATCAAAAGTGTACAATGATCCTTCCATAAATATAGGAATACTTTAAACGGGTCACTAACCTACAAAGTATTACAGTAAATAATCATAATAATTCACCATGCTGTTTTTATAAAATGCTGAAAATATAATTATCTAGAAAATGATACTGTTTAACAAATCAGAATATTTTGATAGGTTCATAAACAACAAACCACATTATCTATATTTATATCTGACCATATAAAAATATACTACGTGGTCAAATAAAATCATTATTATATACACATCTTTAACTTTCTGAACTATGTTCTTAAACTGTAACAAAATACGGCTAAAATACCTTAATACTTTCCCAAAGTTAGTTATTTAATGTCCATGCTATTTATAGAGCAATGGGGATATTATGGTTAACTTGCTATAGAAATATCAAAATAATGTTCTTGTAAAGAATTAAATAAAACATGCTGCTTAAAATATGGTGCCCCATAATTTTAAGCAATAACATATTGGTTGTATCCTTACAAAAAATATTACATGGATTTGACCATTTTTCAATCTGCACAAATTTATAATTTTAGTGAAATTTCAAAAAAACATTTAGTGACTGAAAAGCGAATAGTGCAGACCATGATAAGAAGCCAAGGATGTGCATGCTAATCTTGATTTGTACTGTAAGCAAGGGTAAAATAGGTTGACACCAGCAGGGTTTGTTCTTTAAATTGACTTTGATCCTGTTTCAAGTATCTCAGTCATTCAAACTGATAAACAATTTAAATCATTCTGAATTGCACCATGATAAATCCTCAGTAATTCAAAATCATTTACAGATGAAAATATTCGACAACATCATCAACAACAATGAAAATATTTATTATGCATTAAACACCTGAAAGGAAATGTGCATTTAAATAGCCAATATTTACAAGCAAAAAAGAGCCCGGTTTGAGCCAGATGATGCTCCCCGAATAGGTTTTTGACACAGGAAAGTACCACCTCTTGTAGTTTTAGACTTATGTCCCTGGAAAAAGTTCAAAGTGCAATATTTCCAAAATAAGACAAGACAGAGTAATTGTTTGCACTGCACTTCTAATCTATGCGATCTATCAACCTACAAAGTTTCTTGTTGATACATTTTATGGTTTCCGAGATATGTCCCGGACAAAGTTCAAAATGTAAAAATGAACAAAGGGCAATAACTACAAAATTTGGTAAGGCGGAGTTCAAGTTCTTGTGCACTGCACATCTACCCTTTGAGATCTATCTACCTACAAAGTTTCATGTTGATATCTCTTGTAGTTTTAGAGTTATTTGCCGGACAATATTTTTTTAAAAGGGAAGATAATTCACAAATTGGGCAAATCAGAGTTATGGTTTTTTTTTGTAGTGCACTTTTACTCAATGAGATCTAACTACCTACAAAGTTTCGTGTGGTAATCTCTTATAATTTTAGCGTAATGTCCCAGACAAAGCTCAAAAAGTAAAAATAAACAAAGGGCAATAACTTCACAATTAGACAAGGCAGAGTTATGATTTTTGTACACTGCATATCTACCCATTGAGATATATCTACCTACAAAGTTTCATGTTGATATATCTTATAGTTTTACAGCTATGTCCTGGACAAGGTTTCTAAAAGGGGAGATAATTTAAAAATGAGGCTTAACAGAGTTATGGTTCCTTTGCACTGCACTTTTACTCAGTGAGATCTATCTGCCTACAATGTTTCATGTTGATATCTCTTACAGTTTTAGAGTTATGTTCCGGACAAAGTTCAAAGTGTTATTTTTTTCGAGTTATGTCCCAGACAAGATTTTTCTAAAAGGGGAGATAATTCAAAAACCGGGCAAAATAGAGTTATGGTTCTTTGACACTGCACTCCCCCTCAATGCCACCTACCACTGTATGAAGTTTAAACAAATTATCTCCAAGGGTTTTCAAGTTATGCTCCGGACAAGACAACGGACGGACAGACGGACGTACTCACAAAATGGTACATATGTGACTTTTCCTTTGATCTTTTTGGCCATTTTAAGTCACACAAGTCTTAAAAAAGAAACACAAGTAAAAACGGAATGAATAGGATCAAAGAGAGTTTACTGTTACCCATTGTTTTCCAAGTCACAGAAGTATCTCTGGGTTCGTACGGACAGACGGACGGACAGACGAACAAGGTGGCGACTATATGCTCTCCATTCGGGTAGCATAAAAATGAATACGAATAAAGATACTAGTATATACATAATCCAGTAAATCCGAAAAGTATACAATGGTAAATTTGAGCTGTAAATATAAATAATTCACCATACTGCTTAAAATATCGGTATCTTGAAATAGAGAGCTGAATAATATGTCTGCAGGGCCTCTGCATTATTTGTTATAGGTCTATTGAGTTAATATTTTATACATTAACACTACTATAAAAGAAACAAAATATCTATGAAGATCTACCTTTGTTTATCTGCCATTCTCCTATACAGCACAAACGTGAATAACACGTGAAAAATTGTTTGCCGGCAGTAAAAATCGGTTTTCCAGATCAATGTATAAACCTTCGAGCTATATATAACTGGGTTTTCCTGAATTTATTTATATCGTTAATATTTATAAATATATTGACAAAATATAGTATGGAAGGGTATTAACGCAAAAATTACATCTTGCTTTCTTACGTTTCATCGTGCTTTCTAACTTGTACATCTTGCATTCTGACTTGTACATCTTGCATTCTTACTTGCACATTATGCTTTCTGTTGTGTGCGTCTTGCTTAATTGTATGTTGATATAGTTATTTAACGATAAATTATTATTCATTTGTTGATCTGGTATATTAATTCTATAACTTAACCTGCAACTGTTTGTATTTGGGTCTATTTACTCAGCTTGTCATAAGGTAGCGAAAGCCGAATGCAGCAAGCATAATACGACGCGACATCTGGTGTAATAATATGTGACACCCAAATTATGCTTATAGGTGGCGCTACAGTTATATTCTCGGTAAAGTCCGTTTTGCGGTTCGGATTCAGTTTACTAAATTACGTCCCTTTGTTTTAAAATTTCCATTTCCACTATGGAGGAAATAAGGTAAACATTTATACAAAACTATTTAACCAATTTTTGTATTTATTACTGAATTTCTGTGGGTCAAATCATATTTCCAGCTGACAATGACAAGTTGCACATTTCCAAATCAATAATTTTAGAATTATTTTTTATCAACAAAATAATTTTAAAATAGAACAATTATTCAAAGTGCCTGGGCCATAAAAAAACTTCTTAGTAAAATATTTCATCCTCAAGAGAAGTTCCAAATTTTTGAAATGGCTTATTTCCAATACCTGTGACCATCCAAAACATTTTAAATGTGTTGTTAAAAATTAAGGATATTTTCTTGCCTATTTTCAAACTAAATTTGTACACACATTGTTAGATTTTTTTAATTCAACTTGTCAAAAAATATCATTTTTCACTAAGTTGTAATTATTCACTAAGATGCTTTATGAATAAGGCCCCAGGTTCTTGTTCATAGTGTCAGCTTAAAACTGAATTGAAGGAACTGCTGCCAAAATCAGCTGATTCTGAGAAAAAAAATTGTCAAAACTGTCAATCTGTGAGTGTGCAGCTTTAAGACCAATTAATTTCATAATATTAATTGAACAGTACATAAAAAACAAAATGTACAAAAATGGTCCAAAGAAAAGGTTATTGAATGAATATTGTATGTTGGGCTGATGATTACGGTGGCACAAAGGTGACATGTGTGTGTGTGTTTTTATTTAACTCGTGCGCACGAGTTACTCAGTCGTGGCCACGAGATAGCTAAGTAATTTGGTAAACTGAATCCGAACCGCAAAACGGACTTTACCGAGAATATAACTGTAGCGCCACCTGTTAGCATAATTAGGGTGTCACATGTATTACACCAGATGTCGCGTCGTATTATGCTTGCTGCATTCGGCTTTCGGCTATGCGTCATTCTACCTTATGACATTCGTCATTCAAGCTGAGTAAATAGACCCAAATACAAACAGTTGCAGGTTAAGTTATAGAATTAATATAACAAATGAATAATAATTGATCGTTAAATAACTATATCAACATACAATTAAGCAAGACGCACACAACAGAAAGCATAATGTGCTTGTAAGAAAGCAACATGGAAAAGTCAGAATGCAAGATGTACAAGTCAGAATGCAAGAAGTACAAGTAAGAAAGCACGATGTAACGTAGGAAAGCAAGATGTAATTTTTGCGTTAATACCCTTCCATAACATTGTATCAAATAGTGAACATGTATGTATAAAGGCAAATTGTACGTTATTTTTTGTTGTTGAATATTCTTATTAAAGATGTCAGATTTCATTCAAATTGCATGTACCGGTATAAAGTTGAATCTGATTGCGGATAATCTTTTTTTCTTTTTCTTTTTTTTTTCTTTTTTATGAAATCATTACTCTAAGAAAAAATACACCTTGCTTTCAAGCTGGATGTTAAATACTGTAAATACATCTATTGTAGTGAAATAATGAAAAAATACTTCACCGTCGAAAAAGCACGTGGTAGAATCGTTGTTGTTTCCGGAATTATTTTGAAATAACAAAAAAATGTTTGAGTCATTTTCAGCGATAAGAATCATGGTGGTACAGAATAATATCAACCATTAACTATTGATTTACTTGCACGTAATTCTGCGCCAGAGCTCGGAGATAACAAACTTCAGATATTATTTTAAGTTCACTAAGGTTAAATTTTAAAGGGAAAAGAATCTTTACATAATGAAACAAGAATGTGTTTGGTTAACACAAACACCCCGGCCAAGATTCTTGTCAGAAACAAATTTTCAAAAAAAAAATTTACCCCAGTAACAAATTTTCAAAATTTTTTACCCATTCACTCATTTTTATAAGGAACCAAGGAAAGCAGCTATTTATAACTTGATTGAGTCATAAACTTTTGTTACCATATCCAAATGTGAATAGGTTACACTATCCAAATTTGAAAAGAATAATACCCTATCCAAATATGTATAGAAAGTTATCCTATCTAAATATGAAAAGATATATTTAACAAAAAAATAAATGTTCTTGATAATAACATTATATTCATCTTAACCTGTAGCTAGGGAACGCTGATCTCTATTAATAAGCCTACGTTTCTATTCAATCTGAACATATTCTACTCTCTACTCACTCTCAGTAATCATATATTCTATATGTTCCTATTTTTTTCTGGGTCATGGGGATCATTTATTCCAAGAATTGTTCAAATACCCCTCAAAAATGACGCTTGGGCGGAATTATGTTGTGACTTTCAATATCTCTCATTTACTGAGTAATTAATTTTCATTTTTCATTGATCTCGATGGTTTTTCTCACTTAACTTTCCTATTTTCCGATGCCGAACCACCCCTTTCAGGATCATTGATTAAAAAAAACGTAATATTCAAGGTTGAATAAAAGTCAAGCCGGTGCTAGGGAGCATGAGATACTTCGAACATTTCATATTTGTCGGACTGATCGACATCAAAAGCAGGGAAAGTGTCTTGTCTTTGTGGAGTAAGGTTAAAGTCACTGTCAATTCTACGTGTTCGTTTAAAGTTCAAGTTTAAGATGAATTGGTCCTCAGCAGAATAAATTAGTCTGGCCATATACAGCAATAAAATACATGTGGGATAACAAAGTAAGAAAATAATGAAACATGGTATATCTTTATTATTTAAATATGAAAGATACAACGAACAATTAGCAAAACAAAAACAAAGTTTAAGTCATGGGCCCCAATGTTAACGTAAACAAATGTCACTTGATCACCCAGCCTGAGTACCTATACATGTACATGTATAATGCATTGCCATGAATTTAACATAAAATATTCCTATTTTTAAGGACAAATGTTTATTATAAATATGTGTATACTTTACTATAAGGATTGGCTTAGATATTTGAGTCGTGTATCTTCTTACACCAGAAAAGAGATATTTCTATTATTAGACAACGTAACACAAAATTAATCAATTTAAAATAATTTTTGACTATGTACAAAATTATCAATTTCTATTAACCCTGTCAATATTAGTATATTTTTTCTTTGTATGGTGATACATTAATAAAATGTCATTAAGTCAAACCTGTGTGAAAGGTCACCGTTGAATAAAGATAAACGTACAAATAAAGGCCACTGTTTGATCGCCCTACATTGATATGACGTAATAAACTAACTTCCATATAACGACCACTAGTTTATAATTACCATGATATGTTATTCCTTTGGGTGCATTTGTTCACATCTGTGTCATGTTATTACCAACGAATTAAAACAAAACGATGAAATTCAGGAAGTTTTAATTCTTATCGAAACACCCACTTAAATGACTATTTTATATTATATATTAAACAATATATATTAGCCAATATATTTTGTATGTTTTCCTTGTGCTAAAAGATTTCCGTCTAACTTATTTGTTATATCTACGGTCAAAAATGCTAATCTTTTGCCTCTTTTCAACATCTTTGCGTCAATAATGATATCGTCTCCCACTTTAGCTCCTCGCATAAACCTAGATAAATAAAAGAGCATCTACAAGTCAATTTAACAACGCAAAAATGTACATGTATGATTAGTCTAAAGATATATAATTAGGTCCATATGCCGATTTTCTTTTCTTGTTTTCGTATGAAACAAATACACACAATTAAATTTCATTCTCTTCATTTAATTTATTCTCCTTTAAATGAAGAGTTGAAGGGAAGGCAACAAAATTTAGGCCGAAATAGATAGAAATTTAAATATGCTAAAACATGACTCATTATTTTACCTATAATGCTATATTTATTGATACATGTATATTGATTTAAATTTACATGTATATTGACATTGTCTTTATCATCAATTCCTTTTTTCCCTAGAAACTTTTGCATTTTAAACATAACATGTAGCATAAATGCCCATGTCTTCAGTGTTTGTATGGTGTGGAGCGGTGTTAAGGTGTCTGTCTTAACCAAGCGTTCGTGGGATTGAGCCCTACCTGGGCATATTTTCTCAAATTTTATTGGTGTAGATTTGGTCCGAGAACCGGATTTGTGATTGATTAAAAGTAACATTGTCCAGTGAGCTTTTAAGACATACCGACACTTTAAAGGTCATATGGCGACTTTCCAGCTTTAATAATGGATGTATACCACATCTTCCGCTTCGTTCATTATTTCAGACACTAGCGAGCACCTGAGTAGAACCACCGACGCGCCGTAACTAAGCAAACTGGGTAGCTGTTCTGACATGAAAGAATCCCTGGCAGGATTCGGATCAACAGCGGTGACGGACGAGTGGTTCGAAGTCAACGACCTTAACCCTTGTCATCGGACCTCCTGCGAAAACATGACTTAAGTGGCATGATCATACTAAGAACAAGCAAAACTCTGCAAATATATATAATGCACTTACGACACACTTAAGTCTACACTAACACCTGCTACCGGTTCATCTGTCCCTAGGAGCGCCCATGTTGATACAGCATCAACCAGAGTACAGGTCATTCCACCATGCAAGGTACCAGCCCTATTCTGGTGTTCTTCTGCCACTTGCATTTCACACGTGCACGCACCACCCCCGCCACTTGTTACTTTTACCTTAAACGAAATTAGTAGTCAAGTTGAACATAACGGACTTCAGTACCAATTTTTAAAGCCATCTAAGCATTCCTTCGTGAATGAAAATCCTATGCTTTTATACATAATTTCTGCAGAAAACATTTTACAGATAACGCAACCGTCAATGTTATCCATCATTCCCTGCGAAAAAAGCGCGGACTATTGAATTTAACAAAAATCATTAGCAGCAAAATCTTAATTAAATTACATTAATGAAAAAAGAATTGACACGAATCACAGGTATCTAGAGATATACAGTAACAGACATAGTGGACTTAAAAGATAGGTTTGACTGTAAGGCGACTATCGTAGTAATTTATGGTTACATACATAGTCTTTACTGACGCAATATCCGATAATACTTAACACTTATTTCAATATACAAATATTCAACGCTTATTCTTTTAGTCATATTACTGCACAGCTAACAGAAGTAATACGGTATTACTAAAGGTCACTATACTAAAAATAGCTTACTTGAAATGACTAAACTAAAAGTAATATAAATCGTGTATTACCTTATTCAAAATGTTTTCAAAGCCAAGTGCTCCTTTTGTCGAATGTTCAACAATTGTTCTTATAAGTTGAAGCGTATGTTTTGATGCCATATTAACAAATTAAGCTAGTTAACATGTACAAGGGTGACCTTAAACATTTGTAAACATCCGGTAAATTGAAGGGGAGATTATTAGTCATATACCGTTTTAAGGTAATCTCAATGCAGTAACCGCCCCTTTATAACTTCTTTGCAAAAAAAACAAAAAAGCAAATGCTATTAAATATATTATTCTTAGAATCGCGTCAATATATAAACTTTGTTGAAATTGCCAATCTTTTCTTTTCTAAAGTTGATATCTTTCATATAATTTTCCAGCCTGATTATAGTTCAAATTTCTCATCTAATTATATGTTTTTGTTCATATGTGCGATAAACGAGTATGTTTTTAAACTTGATATGTAAGCAGTTTTGATTGGATTCCTCTTGACTTCCTGTCGGCTAATTAATAGGAAACTAAATATATTACGGAAAATTGTAAATAAATTTTCGAGTTAAGTATCGCTGAAAAATGTTTTATTTGTTAGACCTTGGACGATGTTACGATGATGAAAATACGATGGCTCGATGATGAAATCGCGATAAGATGAATTTTCAAGGTCTGCACGGGTCGTAAAAACAGTTGCCATCAGCAAGATGAGCGCAATATGCATGCATTTTTTATTATTTTGTGTGCATTTGTGTATAATTAAATTTCACGGAGCTATCGATTTTCACGGAGGCTGGCTATGAACTGAATCATTTAAACTTGTATCACAAATTAATATTGAGGTATACGAAATATGAAGAAATTAAACCACTTACGTTTTATTTTTGTGTTAGGGTGTGATCATTCTTGATTTGTCTAGTTGTTTTATTAATAATTCAGAGATGACTTCTTAAAAACAACTGAATATATTAAGAATTATAACATCCAAGACAATTATCGCCACCTCATTTTTTATGGTGCTGCTGTGGTGAAATCTGTACTCTAAAAATAGATACTGTCCTGTTCCTTTCTGAAAGGATCAGGGCAAGTTTCTATATAAAAACTGAAATAAGTCCATTAGAAATGCCTACCTACTGAGTACTCCAGGTTGGACTTCTACATAATATATAATTTTCCAAAGTAAACATGGAATGTTACCATATAAATAAACAATAAATCTAACTCTTGTACAACTTTAATATAATTTGTATCAAATTCAAGTCATTTAAAGAAATCTTTGTTAAAAGAAACAACACAAATGTCAAAACACAAACGCGGGTAAGGCTTGATATTCCTTGGACTAGCTAGTTAATTATTTTTGAGATCATGGGAAACAAAAGGAAGTTTTTATCACATCTAATTCCTCGTTTTCTTGTCTGCCTCCTTTAAGTTTATCCAGGTATTGAGCTGTCTTGCTCGTAGCTTCGACCATATAATATGATCACTGAGACCAAGAATCTGTACTGCAGCAAGGGCAGCTGCGTCCGGGGAGGTGACTGTTGTACAACCCAAAGCTGGAAAAAAAACATTGTTTTTCTAAGTTTCTGAAAGAAATTCCTAAATTTCCATTTCTTGCTAGAATAAAAAAAAACTATTTCATTGATTAATGTGTGTTGTATTTTAGTCATACCGACAATATTAAGCGAATCTGGCGACTTTTCAGCTTTACTATTGGAAGAAGACCTCTGGTGCCCTTCCTACCAGGCATTATTTCAGAGCATACACCCAAGTAGAACACAAACCTTCTAATCCAGCTGTATAGGTAACTCATAGAAAAGCAAGAAATTCTAGGTCGAATGTTAAGTAAAGATAAATTGTTTTGTTCTTCTTATCTGTATTCTGTTCGGTTAAGTCACGGGAAAAATACATTTACTACATGTTCATACAGGATTCACAATTTACTTCAAATACTAGTATTTGCCATTTTTGAGAAAGGCGTTATATGCAATTTTAGTTATTTCTAAACATTAATATTAATATTGTATCATAGTTTGGGGACGTTTTGTCTGGGGTTTGCATATTGTGACGACAGAGAAAGGGAAAACGATAAAAAATATTATATTCAGATGCTCGTTCATTAGTTATTTTTGTATGGGGTTTCATATTGTGTACAGGGAACGTGTTTTTATGATACAAAAGAGAAAGAATATCAAAACACTCGGCAATCTGATTTATACTCGGGGACTGTGCCCCCTCGTACAAATGAGATATCCTCGTGTTTCGATGCTCTTTCTATTACTTATTAAGTTATTATTCAAGAAATACAGTTACCAATAAGACAAAGGACAGACTCATACCTGTAGGTACTCTTAGTGATGACCAGATATCTTCAGCTACCCAGTCAGCTGGCGGGCAGTTAATGACTGGCCAGATTGCGTTACCAGATAGAACCGGACCAAGCCCGTTACTACTTCCGGCTACAGCAATAAACACAGTAGGTATACCCTCACCTGAAAATCATCTTCCAAATTATACAACATACATTTATTCTTATATATGTAAATATTTAAATTTAATTTAGCTAAAATTGTTATTTTAAGCTTGATTGTGAAATAAATGCAATTTTTATTAAGTCCTTTCGATCCAGTTTCTTGGAACCAAAAGTACAAAGAAATATGGTCGGGACCAAATTAGGGCTTAAGCACACGATTCCTGGTTTCAGAGGGAGATACTTTTACTACTAAACCACGGTCCCTTTATATAAACAAATTATTTAAGCTGGCATGGTGTTTCGCTTATTTCCTTTTAGTATAATATATTTTTTGTTTTCAAAATCAAAGACTTAAGAAATTGATAGAAAATGGTGCATTAAATCAGGCTTGTGAACAACAGGCATCCGCAGTTCACCAAAGTACAACCATTAAGGAAGATATTCACCAAAAATAAACTTTATCACTATTCTCTAGTTGAGTTGGTACTTACAATTCACCAGTTATAATGGTATCTTACAAATGCAAGTGAGTAGGTATACCTTCATATTGAGCTAAAATATTCAGAAGTTCATGACACCCTTTGTCAGCAGACGACACCCTTAATTCACAAGGTACACCAAACGTCTCACAAGCAGACCGTATCTTCTCGCAGTGAGCCATGTATACTGGAGAACCCATAAACACAACTGCCTGGACATGGGACGATGGTGATAACTGCTGTAATAAAAAATTAACCCTTCATTTACATAATTTGAATAAAGACATGGCTTACTTTGAATATGGAACTTTCCGTTGTTTGGGGACATAAGTAACAACTAACTCAACTCAAAGACTGCTAGTGGTGACGAGATCAGTGCATACCAACCGGTGCGGATCACAGTTTGAATTGATCGCTATTATGTCAATATATACTTTGAAATTTCCATAAAAATTGATGACTTGGTATGTGAATATTAAAAGATGAACATGTATAAACAAGATACATAGAATATTTAATAGAGCATTCAATAGTATAAGAGTGTGGTAAGCATGGTCCGACTATACTAGGGAAGGGGGGCACTAAAATTTAAAGAGTTTACATAAATGACAGTATTTTAGTTCCTTTGACATTGTAAATTATTTTACGATTTTAGAATTTAGTTAAAGCCCTTCCTACGCTAAATATCTTTAAAAATACTTGTACAGTGTGGATGAAACCATTTATCAGTTTAGGAATAATTTCAAAATACGAAATAATTTCAAAATACCAAATAATATCAATAAACGAAAAAATGAGTGAACAAATAAATTTCGTCGCTTGAAAAACGTTTTGTTCTATGTGCCATTTTGTTGTTTTTGAGAAAAAAGCATGTAAAGATTTAGTATTGCATAACTTTTTCATTTATTGTCAGATTTTTAAAAACTACTAAACGTGTTGTCGAGAGAACAACTCAATATCGTTAAAGATATGTGGATTTTAATATTTCCTTGCTTAAAAACCTAATAAAACATTTGGAGATAGAACAGTCCTTGTAACTTTTTTTAAAAAATGTTAAAATCAAAGTGTTTAATGTGACTTAGAATATTATGTCTTTTAAGTTGAATTGATTTATGTCACATAAAACAGTATGTTCTATCTTTAAAAGGCTGCCAAAAATGTTTTCGACTAATTATCCCTTGATTATAAGTCTTTGAAACCACACTATTTAGCCTATGACATTTGAAATTTTATTAAAATACTTTGATCCAGTACATTATTAAATGACATTAAAACAATAATATGAATAAATAAAGATAAAATACCCACATAAATTTTGTAGACATTTTTATCTATATTTTCATTACTTGAGCCAGACACTTTAATACCTTCAAATTGATTCAATGTCTAGAAAAAGAAAGCTGTAAACACAAACGGGAATAGAAAACTTTCAATTCCTCTAGAATGCTGGACAAATCTTTAAAGAATTTTTTTCATGAAAATTCAAAAGATGGTCAAATTCAAATTTCTCCCAAAAGGTTGAAATAGTAGTAATGATATTGTAATGCGCTTTACACGTTCTATTTGTGTTCGTAAGAAGTTCTTCTAATGGTAGGAATGAAAAAAACTGTTGCTATAACTTAAGTAGGCAATGAAAATATATCTGCTAGAAGGCATGACTTATATTTGAAAAATGTCATATTTAAAGATTGTCCGTGAACAAAACATTACAAACATAATGTCATATATATATACATTCAGAAATTCAAAGACAAATTACAAGACAAACTAAATATACGTATAAGAATAGTTTTCTTCTTTCTGACTTTGCTTTATAATGGTTTTACTTTGAAGTAATCTATTACTTATAAAACATTAATGCATTCTAAAACATAAATTGTATATAAACGCTTAATATCTATAAATTTTCTAACAGGCCCGTTGTGCCCGTGAAATGCTTTTATCTTTATCTCCCAAAAGCTTTATATTTGGAGTTTTGTTATAGTTTCCAGAAAAAAAGTTCCACATTGGCCAGTAACTTAAACAATCTCTTATTTGCATTAGTACAGTTACAGTTATTTAGTATTTTGAATGGAAGTCAAAATACTATACTTTATTGACATTTTGCTACTTTTATTATAAAGAGAATTTAGCATTCATAAGTATTATTCATGCGAAAAGTATCTAGTATGCTGTTTATTATTTGTAACTTACAATTTCTAAAACTCATATTTGCCTGTTTAA